GTAGTGTCCAAGGGAGGAGACTGCCGAGACCACCAGGGATTTCAGCAGGAAGCCAGGGCACCTGCGCTAGCGGCAGCGGGGACGTAGTCCAGCAACTCGTTCTGCCACGGGAGCCTCCCTCCCCACCCCCTATCCTCCAAAGCTCGCTCTCTGCCCTCCACAGCGGCTCTGAACCTTTATCTTTCACCCGCCTCTGAAGCCCCTGCTACTCGTCAGCGCCCCCGTTCGGGCCCAGCCTCACCAGCCCGGGCGAGCGAGGGCCACCACGCTCACAGCTCCCTCGGGCATCGCGCTCGACAATTTCAGCTCCGCCGCGGTAGGTGCAGCAGTAGAGGCATCAGCAGGAGCTATGGTGGCACGAGTGGCTCAAAACGCGAACTACCGCTTGGGCCAAGATACGTGCCAGATGGGCGGAGCCGACGCGAGGGGCGCGGCCTGTAGCCAAGAGGGCGTTTCCAGAGTAGACGAGCAAGGTTTACGGGGCGGAGCCAATGAAAGGGCCCAGGAAGCAGACGACTTGGGACTAGAGAACCACGGAATCCGTACAATTGCGAGTACCGCTTTTAAAGGAAGGTCAACAGAACATTGCTTCAGAATTGAGAGAACCAAGCCTTTTATGGTATTATCAGGCCTGGTCCCCAAAGAACTGCACTTCCCAGAGCCCCCCGACGATAACCACGCCTCCATGGTGTTAAGGTTGGCATTTGATAGGCCTGAGGGCCCGTAGCAGAAACTCCTAGCTCAGAATTAGAAGACTGAACTACAGCCTAAAAGCTGTGCTCCTAGCGACCATAAGTGTCGAGATTTAAAGCGGTTGGAATAGTTTCTGCTCGCAGCCCGTGCGGTACGTTGACTCAACGTGGAAAGGATTATTCTGAGTAACGCAATTCAATTGCTAATAACAATGTTTTGCACTACGCAACCTGATTGGTCATAATGAAAGGGGAAAGGGTGGCCTTGAACAGAGCTTTGGGCGCGCGGGGTAACAGAGAAGACAAGTGTATGTGCTATGGGATATACTGTAGATTTCACGGTTTTTTTAGCCTCCGAAATCCCACTGTGCTCCAACTAAAGCTGACCAGGACTTCGTTGCTCCACATCTTTTTCCTTGTTCCTGTCAAAATTTAGTTGTGAATCCTTTTTCCAAGGATGTTCCTTGATGAGGTCACTGTCAAGCTTGCTGATACTACGTCGAGGGGTAGTTTTTCTAATTCATGGCGGGGGAAACAGGGAATACACGGAAATGCTGCATACAGTATGTATTTCCTGAGTATTCTTCACTTTACTACTTTTAAGAAATTACCTCAAGCCAGAGACTTGGACCCCCAAGGGAATAAATAGTACACTGGTGTGTCCGTCTCACCCTATCCAGATCTTTCGAAACCCTGTGGAGATGACGTGTGTCAACAAGAGGGAGGAACCTCTAAGGAATTATTAGACCTTATGAAAAAGCCTAAGACAAGGGACCCAAGGGACATAGTACACTGGTGTATCTGTCTCACCCTATCCGGATCTTTTGAAGCCCCGAGATGACATGTGTTAGCAAGAGGGAAGAACCCCTAAATTCACTGCTTGTGTACAATGGTGAGCCTTGTACAGCCAAGTGACAAAGCAAATATGTGCTTGTGTATACTGTAGCCACATACTAAAAATGAGATTTGTAAAGCTCACAAGTTGACATGGAGATGATGGATGTCAGCTTCTGGAAGACCAACAATAGCATGTGGCCTTCTTCCCTTCAATCATGCACTGCAAATATTATGAAACATGAAATGCGATTTTCAAATGTATTTCCCAAATCTGGAGGAAAAAGGCAAGAACCATTAGCTACAATATGCAAGAGATCGTTGGTTCTCTCAACCCCTTGCTAGTACATGATTTGACCTCTCCATGGGAGTAAAAGCTAATAAATGGTGCCACCTGGTGTCTTTACTTGTATGCTGCAGACCATGGCAATTGCCATCTCCATCCATGAAACTAGAGTAAAAATGTGCCCACAAGAGCTGTCCACTAACGGTTTTTGGTGTCTACTAATGGTTTTCTCACCTAATCACTCATGGCCAGGTAAACAGTTTACCAAGTATCATCAGTCATTTCTTATCCAAAGCAACCGTAGTTTATCCCCTTACAAAAAACATTCCCCTAATACCCTCAACTGAAGCTGGAAGGCAAATCCAAACTCCCACTTTCCTTAAGATGACCTACATGAAAAACTGAAAGCAGTGTAATGAGATTGTCTTAAGTCTGGAATCTGGGTTTCCAGTCAGAGGCCCAAACCACACTTTTTTGTTGTTGTTTTGTTTTTGAGATGGAGTCTCGCTCTGTCACCAGGCTGGAGTGCAGTGGTGCCACCTCAGCTCACTGCAACCTCTGACTCCCTGGTTCAAGCACTTCTCCTACCTCAGCCTCCTGAATAGCTGGGATTAAAGGTATGTGCCACCATGCCCTGCTAATTTTTGTATTTTTAGTAGAGACGGGGTTCACCATGTTGGCCAGGCTGGTCTGGAATTCCTGACCTCTTAATTCACCCGCCTTGGCCTCCCAAAGTGTTGGAACTACAGGCGTGACCCAGTGTGCCTGGCCCACACATTTTTAATTCACAATTCAGTCCAACTTTTATTGTATAGGTACTATGCTGCCTTTGATATACCAATATGGGAATAAAGCTATAGGCTATTCCCATTCTTCATGAATTCCTCAGAATGTAACAGTCCCAGATCCAATGTGAACAGAAGCATTATTCACTCTTCTCCACTCAGATTTAGTCACGCACTGTATAATGACATTTCAGTCAATGATCACATGATCCCATTAAATTATGAACACATGCTGTACAGATTTATAGCCTAGGTGTATGGTTAAGCTACACCATTTAAATGGGTTTGTGTAACTACGGTACACTCTATGATGTCTGCAAAACACAACCACCCAAGGTGCATTTCTCAGAACATATCCCCATCAGTAAGTCACACATGACTGTACTTGCCATCCCAATCCTCCAAAATGCAGTTAACTCTTCGTATTTCATTATCCATACACCATTTAACACTTTATTCTGCTTTTATATGTCCTAAGTATCTATACATAGTGTTTGTCAGCTTCTGAAATTCTAGATGTCTGGGAATAGATGTTATATAGTTGTCTGTTAAGCACTATATTCATTAGATCAAATTTTAAAATCCACTCTAGGTGGAACATGCAAATAAGGTACAATTATAAGATCCTGGAAAACAGGCTAAACATTTGCTCATCAATTCAAATATTTATTGAGCACCTTTACATGCAAGGCACTGTGAGACAGCTGAGATCAATGACTGCAGTTGGAAACAGGATAAATCTCAAAACCATGCTTCCAAGACTGCTTCCCTACTTAATGTCTTTTCTACCAGCAGAGTTTACTACAGAATTCAGCAGTTTAGATGTGTTTCAAAATTTCCAACTCATCCCATACTTTAGTCTTCCCAGCCTCTTAACACAGCACCATCACTATTCTACTCAATATTACTTATGTGTTTAACAGCTCAGTCATGTCTATTATCAGTTATGCCTCAAATAAAAAGCTGTATTTATCCATTTCCCTCTATTTCGAAAACTGCATTTTAACTGATTTTTTTCCTCCAGCTGGCAGTGAGTCTGAATATCTCAGCTTTAATTTTCTCTGCATCTAGACATTCGTGTCCATGTAAAATTTCATTAGTGATAATACAATGACATAAAGTAGTGATGCCCTTACAGCACCTTCTTCAAAACTAACAGTTTTGTGCAAGAAATGTATTCTATTCTTGGTTATCAGTCATTCTCTATAAAAGCACCTGGAAAATGTGCTGTGCATGGTTTGTTGTTGTTGCTGTTGTTTAATTCTGGAGTGAGGGACAAGGGCTGACACTATTTTCTAGACCCATTTTCAAATTGCATCACCCTATTCCATTTCAAATAGCTCAACCAGTATAGTTAGAAAAAAAGATCATCGAAACCACTAAAACCAAAATAAGAGACGGATTGTCTGGCTTTCTTGTGTTCAAAACATTTTCAAATTTGTTATAGAAGGGGCTAGCATCAGGTATTTCATCCATAATTCCAGGAAAAAAATTGCATTTACTGTAAAATTAACACAAAGTGAACCATTCATATGAAGCTTATATAACTGGACTTGATCTGTTAGTGACCTTAATAGATTAAGAGTAGTTAATGTCAAAAGGATTCCTTTAAACATTTTTGTAAACTGTCAAATTCTTTAACATAACTTCCCTTAAGAAAACCTACTGTCCTCTACCATTAAGACTGTGTTTGTGTGGCCAGGCACGGTGGCTCACGCCTGTAATCCCAGCACTTTGGGAGGCTGAGGCGGACAGATCACCTGAGGTCAGGCCAACACAGTGAAACCCTGTCTCTACTAAAAATACATAAATTAGCCAGGTGTGGTGGTGTGTGCCTGTAATCCCAGCTACTCGGGAGGCTACGGCAGGAGAATTGCTTGAACCCGGGAGGCTTGAACCAGTGAGCCAAGATCATGCCACTATACTCTATCCTGGGCAGCAGAGCGAGAGACTCTGTCTCAAANAAAAAAAAAAACAAAAAAACAAAAAAAAAAGGACTGTGTTTGTGTACTGTTACTCTCCAAGGTTAACAGGTAAACTGCCTTAGCCATAATGATACTAAAATGATTTTAGAATGTCTTCTAAAACAAAAACATGCCATCAGGTTGTAAACAATTTTGAAGCCTGCATGTAAAACATGCTACAAGGATTACAACACCAAAAACCTCCCCGAAATGGTGTATCAGAAACTGTGAGAAAAGGAAGGGATTCCTACAATAAAACTACTTCAGTGGCGCCTCTCTCAAACATATCTTAGGGAATTAGAATTCTCTACTCCAACTTGGCACAAATCTCCCAACACCAAGTTCTGCTTTAATTCTTGTAACTGATTTATTTCAGGTTTATATATTCTACCTTTCAATTACCAAACTTCTGTTCTTAGGTTTCTAAAAAAATAGTCACTTTTCGAAAGCAGAAAAGGAAAGATATATATATTTAATATATAAAAGAAAATGCTAAATCTGACATAATTATATTCTTAAAAACATTCCATTTATTTACAGATGTATAAAAAGGCGAATTATTGGTCTACTGAGATCATGCTTCTTATAGTATTAGGGTGAGAGCTCACTGTCTTCCAGGTTCCTCAACTCCTCTCACTCAACTTCACCTTTCATAATCACACATGTAATATTCATAGATCAGTTTCCCCTAGGGTAAGGTTAAAGTGTAGGAGTTTTTGGAGAATTCAGATTTCTGTCAAGACTGTAGGATTGTTCTGAAGACTAAGCCCTCCTCAATTTATCCCTGACAACACCTAGTTCTAAGAGGTCTTGAGAACTAACTGGGGGTTAGAATGATATCTGCAGCCTTCCCCCTAAAAAGCCTGGAATCATTCCTCATTTCCATCTTCCTACAATCTCATTAAGAGTCAAATATCTCCAATTAAGAATCATTACCTGTTTACCTATTTTCTTCTTAAAAAAAAAAAAAAAAAAAGGAAGTGTTAAGCTAAAATGGTCCTTCTTTTCCTGAGGATTGTTCACTCACTTGCCTGCTCCTTGGCTGACCCTCAAAAGCCACAAAAAGAGCCTTGGGATATCAGGAGGAAATACAGGGAAAAGACAAGCAAGGAAGTAATTGGAAACTGCTATACCTGGATTAAAGTACTAGCATCTCTAAGGACAATTATTAGCAGGGGAGGCAGGTGCTGGATTCCTTGGCTAAGGCATTGAATGAAATCTGCTGGGTAAACAGTGGAAGGATAATGAGAAGCTGAGGAGCACTCTTTACCTACTTCAAGCTTCTTTCCTAAGCTGTAGAGGAGGGAAGGTTAAGTGCTGATGAGCAGATAAGAAAGGCAAGCAGCACAAAACCAACAAGAATTTGCCCCCACTGCAATTTGCAGAGGAAGTTTTTCCACTGTTTTCAATCTGTTGATAACCAGAGTTAACAGAAAGGGAACCAACCATGGAAATAATAATTCACTGGCTAGATCCAATCCAAAGTTGGTCTCACAACCTAGGTCTGAAGATATGCTGAGTGGGATTTGGGATAAAGAAGACAGGAGATATAGAAGAAATAGCATCACCTAGGCACGGCCCAGGCACTGGAAGCTCTTGTGTTAGTGTTTTAACAACACAAGCAAATCCTGTCAATGAAGACAGAACAGGGGTTACATTCCAAAATATAATTATTTAAGAAAGGCAAAATGCAGCAGCTAAATCCCAGTCTATACAGTTTCAGAATAGTGATTCTTGCCCCCAGGAGTTTCCACGAGACCCCTCAAGTGCACCATGATTATTTACAAACTAGATAGGAAACATCATTTCTATACTCAATACAAATCTCATCTTCTGGGTTGAAAACTTCAGCCTTTGAGAAATCTATGAAAACAACTATACAAAAATATAAATATCTTTATCTTTACAGAGTGTCAGTCCTTCATATCCTGACAGCTAATGAGTGAAAAAGCTCTACAGATCATTGAACCCATGGTTGCAGATAAAAAATATATCTTGTGATTCAAATACTGCCTTATTTCCCTGGTAAAGAGTGCCAACTGTGACTTTTCTTTACATCCTGTGAAGGTAATAGTGAATGAAACCTTCAAGCACCAGGAGGCTGGTTTGATTTGGGAAATTTCCAGCCCCACGATTTTTTATTTTGGCCACTGTCTCTGGTCTGGGGAGATAATGCATTTTATTTTAGCTGTCTCCTGACTGATACAACCTGTGGAAGAGGTAGGGCTCCTTCTATGCCTACCTCCAAAATATATATTCCCAGTAAAATTCCCTGGTAATGTTAAATGATCTTTTCAATACCCACAAAAATAAGGGAGAACTACTATTTTTTTAAGATCTCAAAATAATTACCTTAATAATAAAAGTTAAAAGCATCCCTACTTTACCGAAGGCTTGAATTTGTTAATTCTGGTTGCAAAGGTGACGGAATGGGAGCTACTTGGGATATGAAAAAAGAAAATTTTGCTGAATGACACAAAGTCCTTCACTTTGGTATTCCATGGTACCCATCCTCTCTCTCCCTATTCTTTAAACATCAACTAAAAAGTATCTCTTCTGGATCCCTTTGCACAAGTCCATCACATTCCTTAGATTTCAGACTTAATCCAACAGCTCCGAGTTGTAGTTCAGTCCACAGCAACTCCAAAGTTGCAAACAGCTCTTTCTCTTGGGGGGAAGAATTAGAAACCACTGTGGGGCCAGAGTCTTGTTATAAATTCCTTGGGTAAGAGGGGCACCTCGTGTTCAGCAATGGATCACATCTTCTTAGAGAGGATGAGGGGACCCAGCACCACAAGTGAGGTAACACATTTTAACATGATCAGAATTTCAGAGTACTTCTTATACCAGGGTCAGCACCCTACCCCCTTTCTCCATCATTATCCACTGCATCATTGAAGTCAAGGATCCAAGTTCCAAGACACAAATAAACAGATACCTGCAGAGAAAGGAGGTGAAATCAATTTCCCCTTACAGCCTGGTTTCTGCTCAAGGACAAGTAAGTTCATTTCCCTGCAGAACCTGGTGAAGCCCCCAAGTTGCCCAATTTAGCTATAACAGGTGCCAATGTAGGCATCACCTTGCTTTCCCGGCCTTCCTGGTCATTCCCTGTTAAGTTCATTTTGTGTCCAACTGACCCAACTTTGGCAGCTATAGGTGCCAAACAAGGCATCACTTTGAGATTCTGACCATCTACATCACTGGAAGGATTAGCTACTTTTAAACCTAGAGGGGCCAGCTTTGGCATAGGCCTCCACAAAGTATCTGTGCTGTTGCTGTTCTCCAGGCCAGTCTTCATGTGCAGGATCGGGGGTGAAGACACACTTTCAGGCTCTGCAGGGAGGGAAGAAGTATCCTTCCCTCCATCAGTATCTTTTTTGTTGGAAAGGAGGGAATCCTTTATTTCAGAGTCAATAACAATCTTAAGGACATCTGGCTCAGAGGCTGGTTCTGCAAGTTGTTTTTCATTCTCAGAAAAGTCATCATCTTCTAAGTGCAAGAGGAGGGGACTGATGGAGTCACTCTCCCCTTGAACATCAGGCAACTCTTTCAAACCAGTTCCCAAGTGCTCAATCTGGAAAGTTGCTCTGTTTCCAGGAGGAACCTTACTGATAAAAGCCTGCGGGGCATCCCCTGGGAACTCTGTATCCACAGAGCTGGGTAGTTCAGCCAGGCTAACAGAGTCATCATTTAGTTGTTGATTAAGAAAGGCAATTTCATTGAGCAGTGAAGTCAGTGTCTCATCAGTATCATCCTCATCTTCCATGTTAGTTAGCAGTTCACTGGGATCAAGAGCTGCTTCCTCTATAGCTGATGTTACTTTCCTCAGTTCCATCTCTATGCTTGAGTCCTTGAGATCTTTTATCTTTAATTTATGAAATGAAGACTCCTTTGACTTCACTCTCTCCCCTCTCAATTCACTCTCTTTCCATTTATACTGAATCCCTCTCCTATCACCAGAGATCTTTTTAGGTAAGAACTCTTGTGCTTCCTGCATACTGGAAACATCAACTATTTGTGGATAACCAGAATCTTTGTTTGCCAAAAAAACCTGCGATGGACCCAACGTGACTCTGCCATCTCTGTTTCCTCTGGAAGAGATTCTACCCTTATTCCCTAAGGAGTTATCTTCATTCCTGACAGTGTCTTTCAGATGGTCAGATGGCTTGCCATCAGGAACTTCATGAGGATATTTGCTGCCACCCATATCTATCAAACCTCCCTCTGTAGCCAGTGATGTCACATTAACAATTCGTGGCATCATAAATAAGTCGTCATTTTCTGAAAAACAAAAATTAAAAGAAAAATTCATTTAGATCTACAGTGCTAACACCTCTCTCTCTGTGTCATACCATATGGCCATCTTAGGGAGTTGTACTCTAAACTCGGCAGTAGTCTACTTTTATCAACAAGATGAAAGAAATATCAGTTCTTCAAATTACTGACCTAACAAGAAAAAACTCAAGTAAAATCCAACCAAAACGCTCTTTCCATCACTTTTTAAAGCTCCATTTAATTATTTTATAGAAATGCTCCCCAAGTTAATTATTGTCCTAAGGCAGAAATGCATTTTGATTCTTAAGCTCTAGAGGCAGCATGGGAACCAGAAAAAGATGAGTCCTCCAGAGTGAGGTGGGCAAAAGGTAGAGACAAGGAACTTTTGGCTGGCAATGGCAATAAAGTAACTAGGATTTTAATATTACTAAAGAGAGACCCTTTTACCTTAGTAGAAATATAGGTGCCTGGAACCTGATCACCCAAGTGGGGCTTCTCTTTCAACTTTACCCTTTGCCCCAAAAACTGACAAATATTTATCAATACCAAGACCTAAGACCATGATCATTTAACATCTTCCTTTCACTCTGACATCTTTCTGATTATTCTACTTAAAAATCACCAGATTTCACAAAATGGTTCCCAAAACCAGGTGTAAAACACACCAAACAGTACCACAGCTCAAGCCAAATATGTTCTAAAAAGAGGGCCACCTCCTACCAAGGCAAATGCCAACAAAATAGCTCTTTATCATTACAGAACACATTCAAAGGCTTCCTTGGTCACTGTGAGACACCAGGGATAACTTTTATCACTTCCCATAGAGGACAACACTTACAACATACCTGGCTGAGCCATAGCACTACTGGCAACTTGAGGCTTAAGATCAGATTCTAAGAGATCAGGAGAAACAGTTACCACTGGTCCTGAGAATAGAGGACCTTTTAGGGTGAGCAATTGCCCTTGTGGAGTCATCACAAGGTTGGCTGAGGTGTGTGGAGTGTTCGAGGGTGAGGTATTTTCTGAAAGAAAGATCAGAAATTAGTTATAGATAAAAGGCATTCAGCTGTGTATGTGGTGGCTCGTGCCTGTAATTCCAGCACTCTGGAAGGCTGGGGCAGGCAGATCACTTGAGTCCAGGAGTTCAAAACCAACCTGGGCAACATGGTGAGACCCCACCTCCATCTCTACAACAACAACAACAACAACAACCACCACCACCAAAAAA